TGCTGTGAGCTTTAACACCAGAGCACTCTACCCAGGGCAAAAGGCTGAGACTCTCTCAAAAAATAAATAAATAAATAAATAAACAAACAAAGCAAATATTTATGTCTTTCAAAAATTAGCCTCTGACGATCACAAAGGCTTTTCATACAGTTTAGAGCACACAGAAAAGCCTTTCAAGGCATGTGGGGTTCCAGACACAAGGAGGCAAGCTGGTTCCCAGACTCTGGCAGGAGGTGGTAAGGAGGCCCTCTAGAAACCCCCCAAATAAGGACATGCTGTTTTCTGTGAAGAGGGGATTCTTTCTTTCTTTCTTTCTTTTTAAGACAAAGTCTCAAGCTGTCACCCTGGGTAGTGCCGTGGTGTTACACCTCACAGCAACCTCAAACTCTTAGGCTTAAGCGATTCTCTTGCCTCAGCCTCCCAAGCAGCTGGGACTACAGGCACCCGCCACAACGCCTGGCTATTTTTTGGCTGTAGTTGTCATTGTTTGGCAGGCCCAGGCTGGATTTGAACCCGCCAGCTCCGGTGCACATGGCTGGCACCCTAGTCGCTGAGCTACAGACACCAAGCCAAGGAGGGGATTCTTAAAACAAGCAGGCCACCATTGCCACATCATACCAAGTGGTGATAACCCTTGCCTGATCCCTTTTGTCACTTATGCCGAGGCATTAATTAGATACTTTGTCTTTAATGTCCACCAAGAAGGAGTTGAATTGGTTAATTATCCTGGAAATGGTTCACTTCAAAAGGGTTTAAAACAATTTTACTATTTTTATTATTAGTGAGAATAAAAATTGTTCATTTTTTCTAATTTTATTCCCTTTTATATTATCTTAAACTTTAACAATGAGTAAATTTAAATGGATATTCTATAAATGGCATTTTGATATCTCATATCTTTGTTTACAGGAAGAAATAAGAATTAAAATGGCATTAATGTGTTCATTAATTTAAAATATAGATGAGGCCTGGTTTGGTGACTCACACCTGTAATCCCAACACTCTAAGACTGAGGCAGGTGGATTGCTTGAGCTCAGGAGTTTCAGACCAATCTGAGCAAGAGTGAGACCTCATCTCTACTAAAAAAAATAGAAAAATTAGCTGGGCGTTGTGGCAGACACCTGTAGTCCCAGCTACTTGAGAGGCTGAGGCAGGAAGATCACTTGAACCCAAGAGTTTGAGATTGTTGTTAGCCATGATGCCACAGAACTCTACCAGGGTGACAGAATGATACTCTGTCTCAAAAAATAAAATAAAATAAAATGTCAATGAGCAAAATGTATTCCTATACTGTATTTATCTACATCTGTGTGTGTCTGTGTGTGTTTGTGTGAGTACACACATACATGGATTTTTAAAAATGTATTTGTGGGAAATTTTAAAATTGCAATTGCCTGATCTTTCCCACTCAAATGATCTTAGGCAAGAAAGGAATATTTATTGACTCATAAAACAAACATAAAGAAAAGACACTAAACAAGACAAAGGCAAGAAAAGACAAGTGACAAGTAGTCACCATATACAAATAAGAACCTGTCTTTTCTTTATGGAGCTAATGACCCAGGATTCACAGGCTCTGAAAGTCGCCCAGCGTCTGCTCTGTGCCTCCCTCTCTCTGTGCTTGTTTCATCCTCTCTAACTACAGTGCAGCTGGCAGGAAACATGGCTGCCATGGCCTCCAGACTCATGTCTTCCCATCTTTACCTTGGGAAAGAAAAAGGCCTTTTTCCTTTGCTTCCAGCTTACAGAGTCCCAAGAAAGTTCTCTTATAGGCTCAGCTTGAGTCACCTGCACTCTCCTTCACAAATCACCATGGGCAAGGTGACACAGTTCTGCAGTTTGCTCAGTTTGGGTCAAGGTCTCACCTCCAAACCTGGCCTGATGATGGAGATGGAGGATCAGATAAGCAGACAGCAGATGGCAGCTGTCATCTGATTCATGGGGTACCATTTTATAAAGAAATATCAGGTGCCATTTCCCATCGAAGGACAGTGTGCTGGTAGACAAGGGAGAAGTAGTCACCATATACAAATAAGATCAATTCACATAGGTGTTTTGCCACATGTTTTCTGACATATTCCATTTTGTCCATGTTTACGACATAACTTCAATGATAATAGTATTTAATGGCAGAACAATGTTTTATTCTGCAATACAGCTATGAAGACTGGTAGTGACCATGAGGACAAGAGCCACACACTAAGGTTGGCAGAGCAAGAAGACAGAGGACACCCAGATGCTTGATGGCATCCTAGAGTTGCTGTTGCAACCCTGTGTTGCCAACTCTAGATAGACTTCTATACTGGGGAAAAATAATCCCTAGTTTGGCTAAACCACAGCCGTCAAACTTCACTTACATGAAGCCAAGTGCAGATCCTTGTAGTCAGACTTCCTAACAGCCTTTGGTTGCTAAAGGTAGGTCGGCAAACTTACCATCAGTGGGAAGGGAAGGGGAGAGTGATGATAGAAACCCAAGAGAGGCAGAAAGGGAAGCCGAAATAAAGGAACTTGTAGCCTAATTTTTTTTTTTAAAGAGTTGAAGGAAACTGACCCATAGAACATCCAGGAATCAGCATGACAAGGTCGCAGGAGAGCAGGAATAACAGTCACAGCTGAAGGGATCAGAGTCAGAGGCTGTATCCAAGACTTCTTTGATCCTATGCAGTATGAAGGGTTCCAGAAATCTCTAAGTGCTCCCAGTTTGGGTAATGAAAGTAGCTGAAGTTGAGAGCCAGGAAGCCTCTCAAAAGATTGCCATGCAGCCAAAGGCCTCCCACAGAGCACAGAGGCTGAGGCAGAGACTTGAGTGGAATGAGCAAGGGACCCATGAAGGTCAGCTGAGCACTCTTCCCCCGGAGCGTCCCCTTGTACCTAGACAACATCTTAGGAAAGAGGAAATAGAGGGGAGGCCTCTGGAAGAGAGAAACAGCTCTCCTGGGGCATTTGAACATTAAATTGACTAAGCTTTATCCACAATTAAGCTGTTTTAAACCCTGACAAGACTGTTTGGGACATTATTTTTAACTGGTAAGGAGAAAAACTGTCCAGTAATAAGAGTCTTCTAAGGTATTCTAGTTCAATTACAGAGACTTTAATAAATGTTTTGTAAGATCAGTGTAACCTGGTTCTCTGTACTCTCAATGAATCCTCAACAATAAAAAATAATTTATATTTCTGAGTCATAGCGTGTACATTTGGCTGTCCCCCAGCTCTTCCCACACATAGATCTTTCTTTCTTTCTTTCTTTCTTTTTTTTTTTTTTGAGACAGAGTCTCCTTTTAGAGTGCCGTGACGTCATAGTTCACAGCAACCTCAAACTCCTGGGCTCAAGCGATCCTCCTGCCTCAGCTGCCCGGAGTGTTATCTTTTCTTTTCATTGCACTGAATCAACAGACAGAGTAGACAGGTGCACTTTTTCACCGTGAAAAGAGGTTACTTTCTTTTTTTTTTTTTTTTTGAGACAGAGTCTCACTTTAGAGTGCTGTGACGTCATAGTTCACAGCAACCTCAAACTCCTGGGCTCAAGCGATCTTCCTGCCTCAGCTGCCCGGAGTGTTATCTTTTCTTTTCATTGCACTGAATCAACAAACAGAGTAGACAGGTGCACTTTTTCACCGTGAAAAGAGGTTACTTTTTTTTTTTTTTTTTTTTTGAGACACAGTCTCATTTTGACGCCCTAGGTAGAGTGCCCTGGCATCATCGCACACAGCCACCTCAAACTCCTGGGCTCAAACGATCCTCCTGGCTCAGTTTCCGGCGTAGCTGGGACCACAGGCGCCTGCCACCACGCCAGGCTATTTTTAGAGACGGGGTCTCGCTCTAACTCAGTCTGGAACTCCTGAGATAGAGCGATCCACTTGCTCGGCCTCCCAGAGTGCTGGCATTCCAGGCGTGAACCACTGTGCCTGGCCCTGCTACTGTTATTTTTTAGTTAGGGACACATCCAAAGTACTGCCTCCTCTGCAAACCCAGTTTGAAACCCAGTACCACATTTCCCAGAATACTTGACGAGAATCGCCTGTCCTCAATGGAAAGGGGAAATGCGGGAGTTTGGTGCTACGGAAAGGACGCAGAACGTCTGTTTTCTACCAAGGGCTGGTGCTTTCTTAACGCCCGGTCCAAGTTGGTCTGGAACCTGGCCAGCGGCAGACACCGGCTCTGGCCCCCAGACCTAGGCACAGACCAGCAGAAGGGAAACCGCACAGAGGCCAGTGGTGAGCTGCTCCTAGCCGGGAGGTGCACGGGGCGGGGGCGCGGAAGACCCGGCCTAGGGCGCCAGGCTGCTTGCTCCGGGCGGTCGGAACAGGCTAGGACGTGCGCACCTGCAGACCCCACTCACGGAGTACAGGGTTCGGGTCCCACCTCAGCTCTGTAGGGGAGGTTTTCAGGACCCCGCAGCTTAGAAAATGGGTTTAGCACTCTTCACTGCTTGGAAATGGGCGCCCCGGGACCTCCGAGTCCTTTGAGGGCTTGCTCGAGACTACATTTCCCAGAACGCTCCGCAGTAATTGACAGCTCTATCGCCCTATGAGCAAGGAAGACTCCTAACCATGGAAACTGGAAGACCAATGGCAACATGGCAGGGGCGGTATTTTCCGGCTCCCGGCTGTGGAACGCGGAGTCGCATTTATGTCACCACAACCCTCGCCTGGACTCCTGGCCGGGCTCTAGCAGGGACCGCCTCTGCGTTCCGGCTGGGTGCGGCTCGGCGGCAGAGGACGCTCACTCCCTCCGGCGTCCCCGCCAGGCCCGGGGGCGGTGAGTGACGCGAACTGGAGGCGGTGTCCCCCGAGGGGCGTGTGCCGGCCGCCCCCAGTTCGGCTTTCCCCGCCGTGGCCCTGCGCCGGCCTTCTGGATCCCCAAGCCTTGCCCAGGTGTGGGGAGCAGTAGCTAAGGTTCTGTCCCGACTTTGGGATGACGTGCCCTCTCAGAGTCCTAGCCCCTCGGCGGCGGTCGTGGGTGTCGCCCGCTGTGCTGACCCTCTGCCCGCCGCGGCCCGCTGCTGTGAGTGCCGAAGGGCAGACCGGGCCGGACTCGGGGAAAGGACCCTGGGCGGAGCTGAGATGTGTGTGACCACTGCCGGGCCCCCTCGTGCCCCCCTGCACGTGAGCCCTGCAGCTGCGTTCTGTGATGCATGTAGAGACAAAATCACACTCAAAACTCTGGCCGTGACGACTTCCTAATGGCATTATTGCTGTTAAGATTTTAAACCAAGGCTCGGCGCCTATAGCTCAACCAGCTAAGGCGCCAGCCACGTACACCTAAGGTGGCGGGTTCAAATCCCCAGCCCGGACCCGCCAAACAACAATGACAGCTACAACCAAAAAATAGCCGGGCGTTGTGGCGGGCGCCTGTGGTCCCAGCTACTTGGGAGGCGAAGGCAGGAGACTCGCTTGAGCCCAGGAGTTGGAGGTTGCTGTGAGCTGTAATGCCATGGCACTCTACCCAGGGGGACAGCTTGAGGCTCTGTCTCAAAAAAAAAAAAAGATTTTAAACCAAATTAAATGTGTTCCTACAGTCTTTGGGTCATTAAAGACTTAATACTTTATAAATGGCGAATAGCAATGTCTATAAACGTGTTTCTGAAGAAAGTTGTGCATTAGTAGTAAACAGGTGATTTGATCAGTGGGACAAACGGTGTGAAAGAGTGAAACCTCCGCTGCCGGGTCTGGAACTTCCTCCGCTGAAATGCAGAATTCTTTGTAGCTGGGGCTCATGCAGCTGGCTGACTCATGTTTGTTTATGTTGGAAACTCTCTAAGAGGAAAAAACGTTATCTTTTATGTTGTTGTTGTTGTTTATGAGGCAGAGCCTCAAGCTATCCCCCTGGGTAGAGTGCCATGGCATCACAGCTCACAGCAACCTCCAACTCCTGGGCTCAAGCGGGTCTCCTGCCTCTGCCTCTCAGGTAGCTGGTACCACAGGCGCCTGCCACAATGCCCGGCTATTTTTTGGTTGCAGCTGTCGTTGTTAGGTGGGCCCGGGCTGGATTCGAACCCACCACCTTAGGTGTATGTGGCTGGTGCCTTAGCTACTTGAGCTACAGGCGCTGAGCCGGTTTTTTTGTTTGTTTGTTTGTTTACTCCTAATGCCTCGCAACATATTAAGTACTAAATGAATTACTGATCCATCCATTAGTCAACTCTGAGCATCCTCCCAGAAAGTAGTTTTTTCATGATACTGCTGTCAATTTATTAATGTATTAATGATTGGTTTCAATCCCCAAGGGTTGTGTTTTGTGTTATCCCCATCAAATTTACCTTATTTTTACAACCTATCTGTATCTTCTAAAAAAAATCTATGTCTTGGCTCGGTGCCTGTGGCTCAAGCAGCTAAAGCACTAGCCACATACACCTAAGCTAGCGGTTCGAATCCAGCCCCAGCCGCCAAACAACAACGTCAGTTGCAAGCAAAAAAAAAAAAAATCTATGTCTTTTTAACTCTCATTTCTGACTCCATTAAACCTTGAAGTGGAGTGGTGCCCGTCACAGTTCCCTTTGGGTTCTGTGTAGTCTGTCCTTTGAGGTTGACCTCAAATCTATAAGCCAAGAAGAGTCAGCTGCTCTCATTACTAATATGTGTATACTTAAGCCCATAATTTCCTAGCTTATTGAGGGAAATGTAGTTGGAGAAAATTGAAAATTCCAGCAATTGAAATATCTTGCTCATCATGAACAGTTTGTTCCTCAAAAGTCAATGTATCCAAGATTGATGTTCTGTAGGTATGTTTCGGAGGCCAAGGCCTTTCTTAGTGATGGGGAACTTGGCCAATGGAAGGCTCCTGTAAAAACAGAATAAGAGAAGCAATCCTCCTGTGTTGACAGAATTTACCTCAGAGATGTTCTAATCAGGGGGGTTTGTTTGGCATACTGGGGGCCATCTTTTGATTTTCAGACAATGGTGAGAATATCTAGGGAGCTACTGATGCATATTGAGGTCTCCTGCTTTAGGAACGGATGACCTTTGATGATGTGGCTGGGGACTTCAGGGAAGAGTGATTTACCCAGACACTGCTTAGAAAATCCCCTTCAGGGATACCACCCCACCACACAATTAGAAGAATGGGCTCTCAAAGGGTAAGGATGCTACTTTTCTGTATTTATTTTATTATACTGTATTTTAAGAGACAATGTCTTACTCTGTCATCCTCACCCAGGCTGGAGTACAGTGGCATGACCACAGCTCACTGCAACCTACAATTCCTGAGCTCAAGTGATCCTCCTACCCTCACCTCTTAAAGTGCTGGGATTACAGGCATGAGCCACCACACCTAGCCACTACTCTTTCTTACATTTAAAACTTAGATGTTTTGAGAGGATCTGACTCTGTGTAGTCTCTGGGATATTGGTTACTTAGAGTTCCAGGCCTCTGTGAGATTGTTGCCCACAGCAGAGAAAAAACAACTTCTGTCTTCGTGATACTTCGGCTCGCAGATGTCTTTGACATTGATTGGCTTATTAATGTCTCTCTATAATTTTTTGATATATGTGTTACCGGCTAAGAACGCTGAGACTCAGAAGTTAAATGGCAGAAGTCCAACTGAGGTCTTTGTGAAAAAGGAGAAGCTGTCCCATGGTGTTTTTGCCTAAAACAAACATTTCCTGTGTTCTTACTAAAATACCATGGCTTCCCCCTTGCTTTACTACATATATATTAAACAAGTACTATTTACTAATGAAAGAAAACACTGGCTGAGCGCAGTGGCTCATGGCTGTAATCCTAGCATTCTGGGAGGCTGAGCTGGGAAGATCCCTTGAGCTCAGGAGTTCAAGACCAGCCTGAGCAAGAACAAGACTCTGTCTCTAGTGAATAGAAAATTATCCAGGAGTGGTGGCAGGTGCCTGTAGTTGCAGCTGCTCAGGAGGCTGAGGCAGGAGGATCACTTGAGCCCAGGAGTTTGAGGTTATAAGCGAGGATGACATCACTGCCCTCTAGCTGGTGTGACATAATGAGATCTGTCTCAAAAAAAAAAAAAAAGAAAGAAAGAAAACAAGAAGGAAAAGACAAGCAAAATGAAAACAAAAGTCATTCTTAATCCTACAGCTGAAGAGTTAATGGTGAATGGGTGGAGGGAGGGTGATTGGCGGGGTCACCTCTATGGTTTATCTTTCAAGGGTACAAGTGAATCTTTCTAAAAGTAGAATATAAACATCTTAACACAATAACTATGAAAATGACATAAATGCTATGTTAACCAGTTTGATGAAAGTATTTCAAATTGTATATGAAAACACCACACTGTACCCCATGATTGCATTAATGTACACAGCTAACATTTAATAAAAAAAGAGTTACTATCCAGCCAGCCTTTTTCTAAGCAAATATGAAATTTACAAAAACATACACGAAAGAATAATATTGAATTATACTGTATATTCAGTTGTATATCCTACTTTCTCACACGTTATATTGTGAATATACTTTGACAATAAATATCTTTTTGTACATTACTTAAAATAACCACCTAATATTTTGTAGTATGGAATATAATATTTTGTTATATGAAATAGAATATTACATCAAATCATATATATGGCTTTTTTTTTTTT